AAAAAAAGAAACAAAACAAAACAACGTTACACAATCCACTATATTGTGAAATAAATATCCAAAACTGGATTTTTTTTCGTTGGCACCCCACTTTTATTTAAATTTAATATTTTTTCATTGCAATTATAATTGGGTATGTAAATATTTCCGGTAAAAACATTGGACAAACGTATGGATAGCTGCAATTCATTTCAAGCAAGTTAGTTCGAAAAACAGCCCGTGAAGCGCAGATGCAGTTCAGGTTTCGGAGTTTCGTTTGACATTTGAGGTTATGTTCATATTACGTTTTCATGACACATACGTACGAATGCACAGGCACACCGTGAACTACGTACTCACGTCGATAAAAGTCTAAATAATTGAGAAGGCGCCAAAGTAGCTGGTGTGTATGCGTATACAGCAACACTGCCAACTGTGATTGTTGATGTGTGAGTGGAAATTGCACGCGAAATGAACGAAGTGTCATGTGTGTATCGCATGTGTTAGAGCCAAATGAAATCTCACAAGTAGTGACAAGTTACCAAATAGCTAGCCAAATAGTGTGCGGAAATAAAAGCGAAATAACACGAGAGAAACGTTCGAAACAAACAAAAAAAACAGCAGCTCCAAAAAGAGAAACAACGAAAATTTCACCGCAGTGATGCATTTGTACTGAGTTGTCGCATTAAACTCGAAATCGATTTCAACTTTGCTTTGGAATCGCAGGCATTTGATAACGGCCGAGGCAACGACGACCGTATACCCATTTGGCGAAACCATTTAAGTAAGTTGTTTGACATTTTTGTAGCATTTGAAAATGAAAACTGAACAACTTTGAGTGCTTAACAGTTGCGGAGATAGTGAGACAGTTTTTTTTTCTGTTTTGTTTGCAAATGATTCCCGAAAAGTTATCGCTTTGAGGACAGGTCATTTGAGAAATTGTTGCAGACCGACAATTTTTAGCATGATTAATTGATTTTTCAGTAAATTCTCCGAACAAACTCAAATCTCAATTAGATAAAACATTTATTTATGAATCACAGGAGTCATGTAAGTGATAAAGATTACAAATGGACAATTGCACGATAAGTGTTATGCCTTAAATGATAAATGCTGAAAAAGATAACAACAACGAAAATCTTGAACAATGTCAATTGTATTTATGTACTATTCCCATAAAATTTGAACACACTTATTCCAAATACATTGCAGCGAGAAGTACGAACAACATTCCGATGAGATCTCTCTATATATATATTCCGACAACGTTGGAATTTACTTGTTAGTCAGTTGATTGTATCGATTGTTGCGACGAAAACATTTCTTCATCATTTTTCTTCTTTTTGAATTTAGTTTTGATTTTTTTCAGTGTAATTTTACCGCAAATTGGCGAATCAGTCGGTCCCAAACTCGGTTTATTATTCGTGACACAATCGATTTTTGCAAAATCCGATAATTTCTTCAACTTTCTCACCGGTTTCAAGCACGCTGCCGTCGCAACGATACCACCAGTTTTGAATTTATTGTGCAATTTATTTGGAGTGTTTTTCGATTTGGATTGAATAATTTCGGTGTTGGAGCGAACAATTGCTTTCGATTTAACATTGGTGCCGTGTGTAAAAGTG